ACAACCTCACCCATGCTAGCGACTACTTCAGTGAGGCTGAGTCTGACCTTATCTTCAAGATTCATGCAACTACTTAGAACTTCCAAATAGCTTATATAGGCACTGTTTTGGGAAAAACGTACCTTAATATACACGAATAGACTAAGAATTGCAACTCCAATACCAAAAATTACTACGGCCATTCCACCGGCGAAAATGAGGAACATGTAGCTGCACCGGTTCACATTAGAACATTTTATTAAGCACTCAGAAATATGTGAAGAAAAATACCTGGTAATGTCAAACGTGGTCTGAGTAGCAAACAAGATGATGGCGGCAGAGCAAATAGTTGTTGTGACAAGAGCCAGAAGCACAGATTGTGGAGATGAGTGTGCACACACTACCATGAGCATCAAGCCAGCAGCTATGGTCTTAACATTTTGATCTTACTAATCTTTTATTATTCCTTTTTTTATTTTATCATTTCTGGAAATTCATGGTGAAATAATTCAGAGGTAGTGGATCCTCGGGAGAATCGTTGCATTTTTCGTAAACCTCAGTTTCATTGCGTAGCGGAGACAGGCTCAACCGTCCACTGGTACACGAGGAGGGCCGCGTTTGCGATTTTTGGAGGATGTGGTTCTGGAGTTGGCGAATGTCAGGAAGTCGAAGGGGAGACGAACTCGAAGAAGTTGAGGGGGTCGTGATCAGGATGAAAGTCGTGTTGAGGACGTGTTGCAGCAGTACGACCCCCTTTCAAAACCGGGGTCTCGATAAGACCCCGAGCAATGTGGAAGTCAAGTCTTGGGAACGACGACCGATTCACTGGCAGTTGCGGCGCGGTTGATTCCTGGGTCAGATTTGCTGAAACCCCGCTCCAAACCATAGAAATCTACACCCTCGTTGAAAAGGTACCATTCCCTCATTTCATAACCTTTTGAACAATATGTGATAGGGTTAGGTAGAGTTAGGTTTTTTGTAACCAACTAGTGCTGAAATTGTTTTAAAAGCCTCCCAACTAGAAAGATAGGGTCTGTCGAACTGCGTCGAGTCAGCGTCAAGGACGCTAAAATTTTAGTGTGAGTTTTTGCGACTTAAAAGGTATCTCTCCAATTTCGCCTTTGACGCTGAAAAATTCATGCGAGTTGTGACTGTCTGAATGACGTGTGCTGACTCGACAAAATTTGGAAGACCCTATCTCTCTGCTCTATCAAACCGTACCGCACACCGCTCCAAAGGTTATGAAACGGGGAATGGAACCTTTTCATTGAGGATGTAGATTTCGATGGTTTCGGGCGGAGTTTAGCAAACCTGACCAAGGGATCAACCGTAATGTAGGGCTTTCCAATTGCTCACCCTGAATCGCTGCGATTTCTCTCACCATTTGTGTTTTAGTGTCATCGTTATTATCGTTTGTTCGTTTCGACCATCGAACGCACGTTTTCTTTTCTTCTCACGCATCTTCTACGACTTCCCAGGCTAACCAAGCTTCCATTCTTCCGTACCATTGGCTTCAAAGAATGGAAGGCTTGATTGGTTTGCACGGCACACGATCCAGGATTTGATCCTCCGACCGCGCGCGCATGGGTCAGCAAATGTTTTTTCTCTATGTACACGATTCGTCACATCCTGATTACTTGCATTCCTTCGCGTTATCGCGTGATATGATGAGAAGTACCAAAACGTTTTCATCAAAATCCGAGTTAGTTGGTCGTATCAAGACCCCGATTTTGGAGGGGTCCTACTTTCAACGGCTTTTCTCTCTTCTTCTGACGTGGTGGTTCAGTGTCGTATGTAGTTCGAATAGCGATCCTTTTATTGCAAACCAACGAATACAGTATACAGACTCAAAGACGACAAGTCGAGTCTCACAGTAAAAAGCCAAAAGCAAACCCTAAGCTCAATCGACCAGTATATATATTGTTTTCTTAGGCGCACTACATTCCTATCCCCGCCATGAGATAAGGCCTTTTTCCCAAAGAGATAAGCGATTTTGTTTTGTACGTAAATCGTAATAACTTCTGAGGATCGGAATCAGTTCGCGATAGTACTGAGGTGACCACGTCCTCGACACGATTTTCGCTCTAATCACAGAAATCACAAGTGCTCCAGCACAATACTGCAAGGTGCTCCCGAATACCGCCGCCATTTCTCTTCGCGATTGTTTTATGATTCTACTTGCTTCATATTCAGTGTTGCAAATGTTTGAATGGGCCACTTGCGATTTCTGGATTCGCGTGCAAATCCGCGCGACAGATCGACGGACTCTGACAGCAGCTTTACTCGCTCGCCGTGCTCGTGCTTGTTATCGCAGTAGGGCCATATTTCTTGACGGAACGGGTCCGAATTGTGAACGGCTGATTTCATGCAGCTTTTTGGAATCACTCTAGTAGACCTTCATCAATATTGTTCCGGAGTCTATCGTACATAGGTCGTGTTCATAGCTCGCGCTTATTATTTGGTTGTTTCACAAGCCTCCGCTAGCACAATTGTATGTACTTGCTTGAGTTTTATTTGAAGACCCGAAAGTTCTTTCTTCACGCTTCGATTATGCTACCTCCAGAAGAGGGTTGTGTAATAAAGGCGTAAATGAATATGTAAAGAATAATAAATCTTTGGCCTATCACCACGATCTTTCCCGTTACTATGTATGTAACCGTCCCCAGGCCACCACTCATTCCTCCGGACTGTTTGTTTTCAGTGCTTTCGAGGAAATATCCAATTTTCTGTTGTAAGTGACTCGTATGAATCGTCATTTGAAGGTCTTACTCAATCGCAACCCGTTTGAATAACTTTTATCTATCTATCAAGACTGATCTTGAGAACAAAGAGAATCTGCCTGAACTTACGAAGACCGTTAAAATCATGATATTCGCAGGAAAGGTTCGAGCTAATGAACCGCAGCATATTAGTGTCATATACGATGTAATGAATACTATGCTGAAATGGGAGAGTTGCTTAATGAGGCGCTTCGTTGTTATACTGCGACGTTTTTTAAGCGATTGGGTGATTAGCGCGATTGATGAAACGAATCTATTGCTTAGAAGGATTTGGAGTTAGAAAAACTCGGAAAGCTTAGGAAGTGGATAGAGAAAGGCATGTCTGAAAAGAGTGAATACGTATTGAAAATAATTTGAAATTAGGGAATCGAAGATTAGTGGGCAGTATTGGAAAGGATGGGAGCTCATGGTTGATTGATCGTTAGTTGGATTTCTGGATTTCTTATCTCCCATCCTCCCAATCAATACGTATCTGATCCTTTCAAGAACATCATAATCTCTTCTCGCCTATTTACGTAATCTCCCAAGCCGTAGTTCAAAGCCACGAGTCAGGATCGGTTTACACGTCCAACCTCTCCTAAAGTTGAGAGGAGGGGTTAAGCGGAGGGGATGCGACACTGTCGCGATTCAAAAGTGCGATCGGCGCTCAGGGGTGGTGGATGGGGCATTCAAAACAAGGAATTCAGAAAACGTTATAAGTGGCCAGGCTATGCCCTGGAGAAGGGGGGAGACGCCCCAAAATCCCCTGTCCTCCCTAAGGCTCAGCGCCATGTTCTTCAGGTGGGTCACTCATTTGAATGTCTCTCCTCTCCCCCCCCTCCCCAACGTCGTGAGCAGCGCGCGATGCAACGGAGCTGAAGCCCTGACGCGTCTGCTGAAGTGCTTCCAACCTTGTCAATCGCGCCATAAATGGTTCCTGTGCTCTCTCTGTTTTCCCTTCTCCTCGCCAGCGCTGATGTCTCTCGCCGTCGCTACCATGGCCGACTCATAGCGAGAAATTTTGCGTGTCTTATATATGATCGCATTACTTTTTCTCCACTAAATGTTCCCTTGTCTTTACTTATGCTCTAAATCCGAACAAAATTATAACGCCAGCCTCGCGCTAACTCGTGGCCCAAAAGCAGAGTCAACCCTGCGTTGCGCAGTTCTCAACGGCCACGTTGCGCAGTTTCGCCCGATTAGACACGTTCTCTCGCGCGAACATTCACACTCGCATGCTCGAGCCGTCTGTGTCTCCGCCCATACAGCGTGCGTTGAGGATCTCTCAACGTGCCGTTGCGAACTGCGCAACGCAGGGTTGACTCTGCTGAAGGCGGCAAATTTTCAACAAAGAACAAGGGACAATGTTCCTCATTTTACTTATGCTTAATTTTCTAACGAAATAAAACGCCAGTTCGACCCCAACTCTTGCCTTTGAACGCGGCCTGATTTTCGATGATGAGGAACAGGGGATTTTGTAATTTCAACGAGTTCAAAGACTAACAGGGCAATTGGAGAGATCCAAGAGTTCTGAATCATCTGCATTCTTAATTCTGTGCTCACTACGACTGGCGTTGTCATTATGACCACAACCAAGAGCTAAACGATGAAATTGTATAACGCCGGTCTTCCTTGATCAAATTAGTTATTACCATCATTGTGACGATGGCGAAAACTTTCCGAACAAACGCTGCCCTGATAGAGGCATCATCGAAACCGAACTCATCTTTAGGAAGCCTTTCAATGTCAGGCTGAAAAGCTGGCTTCAGCTACATAAAAATAATAGTAGTTCAAACTCAACAAGGTGATAACTTGCCGTATCATAGGAATCTCTGCTTCCGTAGTAGTTCGGAGGCCTTGGATCGTACGGAACCCTCGGATCGTACGGAATCCTCTGATCGTATGGAATCCTCTGATCGTAAGGGATTCTCTGATCGTAGGGTCCGCCGCTCCACTGGTAAGGAGATCTGTAGTCTACCGGCTCCCCCGACATGCGATTGTGAAATAAACCTAAGTAGCTATCTGGTAAGGCACAGCTGTTTATCGATCAGAAATGAAATGCGCCTTTCATTCATTTGCAATGAAGCGTTCATAGTTGGCGATCGTACGTGCGATTAGGCGATTAGGCGACAAGGCGATGATTCAAAAAGAAAAGTATACGTATCGATTAGGCGATTAGGCGAGTAGGCGAGTAGGCGAGTAGGCGATTGTTTGAGTCCCTCGACAAGTTCTGCTGTAATCAGCCATTAGTTTAGTGTATGGTATCCCGTAAATGATGACTAGTAGCCTACTCGCCCACTCGCCTACTCGCCTACTCACCTACTAGCCTACAACGCTCTATTTTCGATCGCCTTATCGCACCTACGATCGCCCAACTTCAGAACGCTCCATAAGGCTTCGGATGATCCAGTCCGTATATCCTTCGATGTAATGTGTGTAAAATGCAATAATTGTAAATGATAAGATCAACATTCACTGTAAATTTTATTAGCACACAATAAATATTTCATAAATATGAGATTCAAAAAATCTAAATGGGGCCAGGCATTCCGCGAGGGCTGGCTAGCGTGACAGGAGGTTCGAATCCATCAGATGAGGGTGGTGCAGGAGGAGGAGGTGGTTCTTGCGACATCTGTCCTGGTCGTTGCCGAATGTTCATCCCTCTATTGAACTGGGGAGGAGGAGGAATTTCGCCTGCACGTTCGGGGGACATTCTCATCTGCTCCTGTTCATTCACTGGTGGGAATGGAGGTTGACTGGCGTTCTGAGTCGACTGCTGAGTTACCGCTAGTGTACGTTGGAAACTATAGTAAGGGTTGACATTTCCATAATAGTATGAATGGTAGTACCACGAAGGTGGCGGTGGAGGTGGTGGTGGAGGAGGAGGTGGTGGAGGTGGTGGCGGAGGAGGGGGTGGTGGAGGCGGCGGAGGAGGAGGACACCAGTAAGGTGGAGGTGGAGGGGGAGGGTAACCAGGGTAGTCATAAGGTGATGGTGGAGGAGGAGGAGGTGGAGGAGGTGGAGGTGGTGGATATCCGTAGGGAGAAGGCGGTGGAGGCGGTGGTGGAGGGGGTGGAGGATATCCATATGGAGGAGGTGGTGGGGGAGGTGGTGGTGGGAAATACCCATAATAAGGAGGTGGTGGAGGTGGTGGAGGAGGAGGTGGAGGACAGTAATATGGAGGAGGCGGTGGTGGTGGAGGGGGTGGGAAATATCCATAAGGTGGAGGTGGCAGACGCGGCCGAGGGGGAGGTGGTTGAGATCGCGCTGATGCAACTTCTAAGTGAGTAACTTCCTTTAGGGTTACAGATGTTCCAGGAGATGCGCGACGGTGCCTGAAAACACGAAATGTGTAACCAAAAACGGCTATCAAAAAACAAAAATAAGCATCGCAAATATGATGAGTTGTGCAGAATTTATGTCCTGTCCGGGCCCGCAGGGTGGTACAAGAATATGGTGACAATATTGTAATTAAATTAGGACAATTATGCAACATTGAGCAGGGTTCACGACTGACTTAAAGACTCATCCCCCGTCGACACAATGCGATGGTTTCATTGTTTTACAGTGTTTGCTTGGTGAAGGGCTCAGTTAAAGGCAAGCTTCGAGATAAAAAGGTGTGGAAGAGCGTTCGCTAATGAAGC